TTATAATTCTTTTGTGTTGTCATCTTCTTGTTAAAACACTTATTACGAGTATCGCTCATCACTTTATCTCATTTATCTCAGTACTACTCATATAATTTTTTGTAGTGTATTTTCTCAAATGAATTACTCGCACGTTGTGTACTAACTCTCCGTCAGTACTACTGAATAGCGATATAATATTTTTTTTCTATAATGGATTATAGTAAAGTAATATTTATAAAGTGTTTTTATTTGTTACATCCACATACATAATTATGTCTGCTATCTCAATTTTTTATCTTTACATTGTTTTCAGCTCAAATAAATAGATATTCACTACGTTTATGAATTTTTTAAGCAAATAACATTTAATCCATGAATAAATTACAATAATATAAATGGTAAAATATATAAAAATAATTCAAAATTATAGCACGAACCTTATCACTTTCTTCTTAACTTCTAAATCTTTCTTTTTTCTTTCTAAATCAGTAATCACAATTAAAAAATATATTAATTATATTTCTAATAATATTAATACGCCCACGACTATTTTCTGCATGTCACTAGGTATTTATTGAATATATTAAAATATTAGGTGTAAGTTGTTTATTTATTAAACGATGAATATCGAATAGTACATAACAATTTTGAAATGAGAATATTTTCTTTCTGTTTCATACTCTTTACAGTGTGATTTTTCGGTAGTCGGGTTTAAGTTTTAGAACCTACTTTTTGTATGAAAATACCTACTAGTAATTTAAGTGATATAATGAGAGGCATTATAGACGAGTCACAGGCATTACAAGTTTGTGTTTGCTCCTAGTGTTAATGGTATGCATGTAACAATTCTTGGGAAATTCTTTTATATTTTTACTAACATACATAACATTTTCGTACACGTACTGAGAAGCAAAAGTCAATATTTTTATTTCTTTAAACTTGTCTCTTAATGACACTCTAGGTCATAAACTATAAATTGCACGAATAGCTCTTTTCTGCAGGATAAAAATTGTATTAATAACAGCTGCATTACCCCATAGTAGGATACCATAGCCATAATACTATGAAACCCATAGAACATAATACTATGAAAATAACTAAAATATACTATGCGAACTGTATCTACATCACTAATATGTCTTATTTTTTTACCGAGAACGCTGAAGAGCTGAGTCTACTCGCTAGCCCCTCTATATGGGGGTCCCAATGCAATTTCGAATCTATGATAATACCTAAGAATTTAGTGCACTACCGGTTTTAACACTTTCCCGTTTAATATAAAACCATTATCAACAAGTTTAACATTAGGTGCTGAAAATTTTCTTAATTTTGTCTTTTTATTATTTAATAATAAATTATTTGAGTTAAACCAATGGACCACCTTTGAGAGAGCATTGTTTACATCGTAGTATATTAGTAAATTAATTTGTGAAGCACTTTAAAAATGAGTGAAGTGTCATCAGCGAACAATAATATCTGGTGTTAGCCCTGTACAAAAATGACAAATCAGTAATATAAATTAGAAAGAAAAAGGGCCCAAGAGTAGATCCTTGTGAAACCCCCATATCTAATGGAGCCCCAGAAGATCTCTTACCATTTACATCAACCTTCTGTATTCTATTATTTAAATACGAATTCAAAAGGTAGAGCGCCTTATTTATAATACCATAAAAATGCAGTTTCCTGATCAGCGTCTCATAATGCACACAATCAAAGGCCTTGGTTAAGTCTCAGAATATCCCAAGGGCATCCCGTGACCCTTTCCATGCCTCAAATATTTTTTACTACACTAACACTAGATTTTATTTATTAATATTTTAATTCTATATTTATATTATCTTTAACCTCACGTATTCTCCTAATTACTGTTCATATAAACCAAAATCTCTTACATTTCCAGATAATATTCCTCTTGGCACTCCTAAGCCGGCTTTTAAAACTAAAACGTAATAACTAAAATTATTCAAGTTATCTGATGTGTTTAAAGAAATACCTACATACATAATTACCAACTAAAAAATAATGCATTTTGGGTTAAATTTATTTTCAGTCTTCATCTATACATAAAATAAAATTGTAACTAAGCCGAATCTGTACATTAAATATTTTTTGGTAAATCTTATTTAAATAGACATTATTATTTATACAGAGGCCGAATATATAGTTTTTAGAATTTTTGTCTGTCTGTCTGTCAGTTACCGCATCACAAAAACCACTGGAAGGATTTTGATGAAATTTGGTATGATGATAGCTGGTTATCCGGGTCAACATATAGGATACTTTTTACTGCGGAAAAATATCTCATCTCTGAGAAATCTATACTGAACGTTAAAACGTAACAAGTAGGGACGAACCCGAGCGAAGCGAGAGCGAGTCGCTAGTATAATATTTTATTATTTGTTTCGATACCATTATTATAAATTGAACGCTACTATGTATTTATTTAGATTATTAATTTTTTTAATATTAATCAAACGATACTTATAAGTACTCGTAAATACAAACAATATTAAAATCACCAATAATACCTGCACAATTGTATATAATACTATCGACTTAAACTCGCTTCGCTTGGGTCGCTATATTCGGTACGCGGGTTTTGTTCACAATTTCATGGGTTTTTATTCATTTTCTTAAATAAATTTAGCCCAAGTTTCTCCTTGTAACTTCAGCTATCTGCCAGTAAAAGTCCCGTCAAATCAGCTTAGCCGTTTCTGAGATAAGTCAGAACAAACAGACGGACAGAAAAAAAAAATTGTTTCTTACTTATAAGTACCGTATACTTTTATATGTATTTAATAAAAAAATCTTATTTTGGCATTACAAACAGACACTTTAATTTTAATTTTTTGTATAGATGATTTGGGATTAGGATTTATTTTTCAAATGAAATCTTTATTATAATATTATTTAGTATAAATTAATAACTTACATTGTCCTAATAGGAAAGGATTATGGCGCCATATATTATGTAACTGTTTCTCGCATTGTTCTGGATCTAATACTCGTTCATGTAAATTATGATCTATTAATGAATTCACTTTTTGAATAATAATAATAATAAATACATATATGAAATTAAAAACACAATAAAATTCATGTTGAGCAAAAAATCTGCCTTTTTCTATGATAGTTTATTGTTAAATGATCAATAAATTATTTATTCACTACTATGATAGCAAAGACAAATAAAATTTGATAAATTTAAAATCTTTATACCCACTATCTAAAAGGCAAGTGACTTAATTATGTAAATCAGAGCGCTATAATTAAGTTGTAATCAAAATTAACGTAATTTTTACGAAACTTATTAGTTTATCTTAATTGGTTTATACATAGTTAATATGGGTAGAGTGAATCAGGCCAATTTTTTTTAATCTACACGAGATTTAATCTTCTTCGGAGAGAAGAGATAGAGAATCTTTATTCGGAGAGGTCACTACTGTGCACGTTTATACATCGGCTTTTTTACAGTCCTGTGTTTAAATTAAAAACAATACACAAATTAACGTAAGTTAGCGTTAACATATGAAGCCAACAATAAAATGGAGAAAATGTTATACGCTTTGTTGTTTCACAAACAAACAACATAAGTTGAAATAAGAACGTTACAAGACTTATAAAACCTATCGTCACCAAGAAGTTACTAAGAAGAAACTCAAACAATTAGTTTCGAGTTCCCATAAAAAAAACTATTTAATGCGATAAGTGATACGTGAGAGTAAAATATATGGACGCCATGGACAGTTTGGCGATAATATCTGATTGCATGATTCATTCATTAGTATACATATATTCTCACGATAACAGCACAAATATGTGATATCGAAGGAACAACATAACAATTTGACTGGACGCGCGATGCAAAAATATGTTAAATATTTTTGCAACATCGGCTCCAAAACTATCTGATACTTCTTAAATCTATTTATAAAAGTATTATATTATTTATTAGTAAGTACCTGGGCGGCCGAGCTTCTTCTTCTTTAGCTTTTTTTGTTTTTCAGAAAATATATAGATAAACATAAAAAGCAAAACCTTATTAAATACATTTGATCGGGCAAGGAACTCAAAAGGATAGTGTACTGTTTCATCCATTGCAATCACTGTATTGACAAACTTATATTCTATTTCTGATTCTTCAAAACACTTAAGCACTAAGACAGTCTAACCTAATAAATTAAAATATTATATATATACGGAGTTATATATAAGTTCGCCCATATATGCTAAAAAAACTTTTTAACGCGACGATTTGGTGGTTATCTCCAAAACACCTATATTCTAGACTAAAAGTCTAAAAAGATAAAATATCATGTATTGTTACTTCATAAAAAAGTGTCTGTGTACTTATGTACGCACGTAAGAAGTTCATCCCGAATGTCACAACTGTCTGTTTGTAAAATGAATGCACCTAATTTCATCATGTCGCTTTTTGACATGATGGAGTCGCATCGTAAAAAATTTACTTTTTTCCAAACGTGTCAAAAGAAGTACCTATAACTTCAAAAACTTTAATTAAATAAAATTAGTAATTAAAATTATTTATGTAATCATTAAAAAATACGTAATATTATATTCAGCCCTTTTTAGAAGGGGAATCAGGTCATAGTCCACCATGCTGGCCAAGTGTGGGTTCACATGTCTTTGGAAAGCTTGCTAGCTTTTCTCAGACAGGTTTCCTCACGATGTTTTCCTTTACCGTAAGCCAAGTGGTAATCAAGTTAGAAATGATTCGAATATAAATATCAGACGTGTGAGACCCAGGATTTGAACCCACTTCACTCGGTTTCTCAAGCGAGCGTGTTACCACTGGGTTATCACTGCCTTCTTATAAAATAATGTAGGTAGTATTAAAATTATTAAATGTAAATAATTTTTACTAAAGACTCAGCAAAAATAAATAAAAGGATATATTTTCGTATCTTTTTGTATTAATTTTATTTTCTAAAATAATAACTGCTACATACCATCACTAATAAAACATAAATCACAACAACAAATCAATACACACATTATTTTATAAATGCAAACTGAATTAGTACTACAGCATAAGATACTATCGACATCATCAATCGTATTGGTAGAATCGCATCTACTTCGTACAAACGACACGCTTGTATCTTATGGAACGCAACAGCATTATATCTAAGCACATTTTTACATGTTTCTCTCGCAGCTGAAAAATAAAAATTAAAAGGTATTGTTTTATAAAATCTTAAAAAAAAAGTTTATACACACAGGTGTATTAAACTCCTTTCAGCTCTCACTGAGCTTAAGAGCGTATAATTGCAACACTGTGATAAGGGCCAAAATGTTTAAAAATTGTAATATTGAGTTGGAATAGAAATCAATTCTTCTCATAAGTATAATCCAAATAAAATAAATAAATATAAATCTCATACTTTAGAAAATACTTATTTAAACACTAGACATTCACCCATTTTCACCCGCTTAGGGGAGGATTTCCGGGATAAAAAATATCCTATGTTCTTTCCAGGGTCTCAAACTGTCCTCTTACCAAATTTCACCTAAATGGGTTCCGAGATCAAGAGATTTCCCCTCTACAACGTCACAAGCTCACAAACTTTACCTCTTTATAATATTAGTATAGATGACATGTAATACTACCTATTTTTGATAACTAAGGTGAAAAGGTTTTGATACTTACAAAAACAAATAATCAAACTACATATTCTTACCTGATTCGTTAGTACAGTTTAACGTTTCAACACAAGCTGTCTCAACTTTTCTTAAGGTTGTGTAAAATTTTTGACATGCAAAACTAATAGCACAGTTGATTAATACGTCTTTTATCGCCAACATGCTTATTGATATTTTAAATACATTCTTTTTATATGATTCCCAATTTAAATTCTGAAAATTCCAAAATTTGTAGGTCCATAGTGTAAATGAGATATTTAATTATTTAATTACAGTGTCAGCACTTTATATATAACTTGCGACTAATCATCGCTTCGCTTGGGTGCTTCCCTAGATGTCTAACAATAGCCTATAAATTAATAACTCAACGGCTATTTTTGACGGCTTTAATTTAAAAGATTATAATGACTGACAATAAACACATTTATATGGAAATAAAAATTTGCTATAGTGCTCGGCGGTAATATGGCTTCCTATTAGTAAAAGATTTTTTGGAACGGATCAGTAGTTTCGAAGATTATCCCTCTACACACAAACTTTATTCTAATATTAGTGTAGACGTTATTTTTTATAACTACTAGCGATTCCAGTGGCTTTACTCGTTGGCTTCCCTAGGTACGTTTCATATAGTTAAATATAGTTATTGTGAGCGTAGCGCTTAGGAAGTAGACACAAGCTATTGCGAACTTTTCTATAGACCTTTTTATATGTTCTGTTATATGTTTAATATGTACCCCCTCAACGTGCGTTCACCTTGTCGTGGTGGGGGGGCTCAGTAGTGCCCGGCAGTCCAGCTGGGCGCGAAGCCAAGAAACGCACAATAGGTGGCCCACTTCGGTGGGCGATGGGGGGTGGCCCCTTTTCGGTGGGCGGTGTACCATGCGGGTTGCCCTGGTACTTCTCTGATAGCAGAGTGGACCTTAGAACAACCCCATGGTTGTAGTTTTCTGATAGCAGAATGGATCACTGGATCAACCCTATGGACCCTATGGTTGTGGTATGCTTCGGCAGACCTGCCGTCGTAACCGATCCTGCGACGCCCCCTTAAGGCGGGGGAAGTTTTATTGGATTTAAGAGGGTAGTACTGGCTTTTCTAGCTGGTGAGTCGCACATAACCAACTGTTTGTCAACAGGTGGTATGCGTAAATTCATTTCACAACAAAAAATATTCTAAGGATATAGATATATATTATACTATCGCGGACATTTCTGTAAACCTTTCTTAGATATACAATTCCGTAGTAGGTACAGGTAGTGAAAACGGTATCAAAATCCGTCACGTGGCTTAGAAAAAGTTACCTGAGAAATAGACAGACGAAAACAGTGACTTTGCTTTTTTATACTATATATAGATTATAAATACTTTTATTTTTTAGGAAACAAATATCGTTTACCTCAAGTTCAATCCAAAACTGTACGTTAATCAAGGAAGTAATAAACGATACTATTCCAAAATATAAAATCTGTAACAAAGAATATATTTTAATAACACTTTATTTTTTTAAATATACATAATATCGTAAAAAGGGTTGTGGTTTTAATTTATTATCTTTATAAATTTATAATTAAATAACAAAGCGAAATCTATGCATGATTTTTTTATGGGAAACGGAAGCTGTGGTGATCAAAAGGACTGATTAGTTTTTTACTTACTTCTGATTATCATATTGAATTGAAACTTTGCAAGAGATTTTATTTCCAACGACAGTACAGAATTTTGTATCATTAAGCGCATCCGATGGTAAAGCCAGAAGATGAATAATTGAACTCTTCAACGACTAACTTTAAGAGCCCGATTATTAGTGTTAGATAATACGCTTTTATTTAGTTTTCTAGTTTATTACTTTTGATATAAATATTGGGACAAAACTAACAATGTCTTAAGTAGGTACACATAAATTTATTAAAATAAAGGCGGTGCTGGTCTCAGAGATGCATCATGTACAAGCTAATGTAATACAAAATCTTACCAATACTTGAAATAATTTATGGTATATTGCATATGTTTTCAGTATTATCCTGTAAATATTATATAATCTTTTCCATTCTTGTTTCATAAAATACTGCTGCTGCCCTGCATTTTCTGAAAGCATTTATAAAGTATAGTATTGATGATGTTCTCCTGACCGATTCCGGCCACGGTGGCCAATCTCATTGAGACTAGCCAAATGCGCAGGAGATATTTTAGTGCACAAGTGCACTCTCTATTCTTGTCACTCTCATACTGTGGTGGGATGACCACTCGACACAACCAGTGAGAGTTAAGGCGTAGGACCGACGACTGGAACCCAGGACCTCCGGGTGTGCAGCCATACATACTAGCCACTACACCACCAAGGCAGTTTAGTATAATATTAATATTATAAATTAAACGTGCACTTTGTCATAATAGTCGTATGTGATCTTATAATCGTACATGTTCGTATCTTTTTTCATTTTGCAACAATATAACAAGTTATGCCTCTTATCTATTTTAATTTTATCTTTTTTAGGTTTTGTGTTTAGCTAAATGGCAACAACAAAAAAGTGAACAACAATGACTAAAATTCAAACTCAGAACCTAAGATTATATATATAAGATTATATATTAAAAACAAATATATATATATATATATATATATATATATATATATATATATATATATATATATATATATATATTTGTTTTTAATCAATTTTAACATCGTCGTACCATCGTAAAATTATAAATTCTTATACTTTTTTTTTAAATATTTTGAGCTGTAAGTAAAGAACGGTTCAAATACCACTTTATTCACGAAACAATATCTAAGTAAATGATAAAACATTATATGTGTACCTTGTAAGAAAAAATCAGCTAAAGATATTATGAACAACTTACTCGAAATTGGCAAAGTTTCATGTGTTTCATTATATTTGGAGATTTTTTCATTCTTTGTAATTGAAGAATGTGTTACAGTTTGGAGATGCTTAAGCTCACCTATCCATAACTTTAACTGTATTGTAATCATATTAACGATCCGAATACAATATATTGCGGTAATCGCGAAATGAAGCAAGAAAATATCAGGCAGTGCACTGAATACTGGGCGTCTACAGTAAAAAATGTAATAAAATTGGAGAGCTATAAAGTATATTATAGTTAAACACACTATAATCCAAGAAATAATATTAAATTTTGCAAAATTATATTGTTTAAACTTAAACATTTTATTGACTCTTTGAACATTTAATACTAGTTCCACGTTAATCTGTTTATTAATGATCGTCAAAATGTAGTCTATAATATGCCCTAAAGAGTATAAGAAAAATTCCCAAGATGCTGTAACCGCAATGTATGTATATCTTGTTTTATTTTGAGGAAAAAAATAAATAAAACGAGCAGTGTAACAACTTATCGGTATTAAAAAACTAAACGCTGATAAAAGATCCACTTTTAAATTGTTGAATATGATGAAATTATTATATATCTTGTACTTTGGTAGCATGAAAAAAGTTTGCACTATATGAAATGGCATGAATAAAGCTTTTATTTCCCTATCCAATAAGTTGTCGTATAAAACTTCCTTATAATTCTTTTGTGTTGTCATCTTCTTGTTAAAACACTTATTACGAGTATCGCTCATCACTTTATCTCATTTATCTCAGTACTACTAATATAATTTTTTGTAGTGTATTTTCTCAAACGAATTACTCGCACGTTATGTACTAACTCCTCGTAAATACAACTGAATATCGATTTAATATTTAGAAAGTGGTTTTATTTGTTACATCCACATGCATAATTATGTCTACTATCTCATTTTTTCATCTTTACATTGTTTTCAGCTCAAATAAATAGATATTCACTACGTTTATGAATTTTTCAACAAACCAACATTAAAGCCATGAATAAATTACAATAACATAGAAAGTAAAATAAATTATAATAGCACAAAATTGTAGCATTTTCTTCTTTTAATGTCTAATCAGTATCTAAAAATAATGTGAATTATTTTTTTAATTATATTAATAAGGTCACGGCTATCCTCTGAATATCACTATGAAAATGTATTAAAAACATTAAAATATATTACATCTAAGTATATAGTGTTTAATTGTTTATATAATAAATAACAAATCTCTAAAATTTGAAATTGTTCTGTACAAAGCACAAATTGTTCAAGTTTGTGTTTTGTATATAACAATTTCAGATGAGAATATTTTCTTGTTTCATACTCTTTAGAGTGTGGTTTTTCGGTAGTCCTTTTTTAGTTATAGAACTTTCCTTTTTTTGTGAAAATACCTATTAGTAATTCAAGTGATATGATGAGAGGCAGAAATTATAACCGTAATGGATATGATGACAACGATAAAATTCTATAATAATCTGATTATTATATGTATATGTACTGATCCGTTCTGATTCCGATATCCATACCTTTACCACATAGTATATTGGAATATTTTTCATCCTATTTTTTAGTAATTTATTTGAGAGTCCCATTGTTTTTAAAAATTCTGATATACAAATATCCAAAATTGAAATTTTATCAAAGAAATAATACGACTTGCACTGATTCTATTCATATAAAGGTGACTAATAAAGTAGCTCAGAATATTTCAAATTTTTGTTTGACCCAAAATAAATAGTGTAATAAAATGTAAAAGATAACTAAAGAAACAAAATTGACCCATGAGAGTATATTGAACAAAATGGCTTGTTTTGTTTTGAACAAAGCAGTTTGAAAATTCTTTGAATATTAGTATCTAAATTCACATTAGCTTTATTGTGCAATATATTTAAAGTGTACGTCATAGTAAAGCCAATGCAGAAGAAAAAGGAATCAAATATACCTAAAGCTGGCAATAGCTAATTAAAATTTGCCAATTTACATAAAGTATAAGCATTAAAGAAAAACACGTAAGCGACAAAATAACGCTGACAGTCTACATAATATTCACTATAGGTCTATTCAAGCGTAATATGCAGTTCTTGTAAATTTGGTACTTCGGAAGAAGAAATAACCATTGCATTAAATTTAATGGATACCAAATTTGTAGATCTTCATCTTAAATATTGTTGAACAATATTTCATTACGAACTTTCTGAGAAATCATTTTGTAAACTCTGCAAATACTTGTTGTTGGCACAGACTTCGGAAATATCTGATTAGGTATCTATTCTAAATGAAAACCCCCGTTTAGTTTTTTACATTTTAGTGCCTGGAAATCATGTTTTTTTTTTTTAAATTAAGTTTTTATAATTTTTCTCATTAATGTTCATTAGCATAATTTTGTTGGAGTCTTTTCAAACTGACATAATCGCAAATCTTTTATAATTAGGCAGATACTATAAAGGAATTTCTGGTCCACTCTTCCACGAGTATAATATGTAACATTTATTTATTTATTTAGAATTACTAACAAAAGTTACAATAATAAATTAGATATAATTTTTTTTTTCATTACTATAGAAACATGACAATTGCACTTTTAATGAGAGGTAATTAAATTTTTATTTTTATAGTAATTAAAATTTTATTTAAATTAATTAATAAGTAAGTACCTTCGGTTTCACTAGATTATAATTTTATTGCAATTTTTAATGTTTAATGTCGGTTTTTAAGTTTCTAATTAAGTATATCTAATAGTGATTCGTCGATTTAGCTTCTTATTGCGTAGTTGACTACAAATAAAAATGATTTCTAGGAAATATATTAAATAGGATTAAATCCAGGAACCAAAAGACAACATATTATGTTTAATATCAGATAACGTCTGCTTTAACAAGACAAGTTAAGTACGATATGAAGAAAAACTAGAATTCGATGATATTAATAATGTTATAAAATGTCCATCAAATATGAATAATCATATTTGATCGATGTCCATACTAATATTATAAATGTAAAAGAGTGTTTGTTTGTCTTTCTTTCACGTCGAAACGGAGTGACGGACCACACCAACCCCGCACAGACACAGCAACTCCGTGGTTGTGGTGGTCTGCTTCGGCAGACCTACCGTCGGGGCGTCGTAGTTGAATGCGTAAGCGATCCTGCGACGCTCCATTAAGACGGGGAAAGGTTTTGTTGGGTTTTAGTGGGTAGTACTGGCTTCGCCGGTGAGTGCATTTACCAACGTTAAAAAAAAGGTACTTATCTTTTTAGATTTTTTTTCTCTATATATATATATATATATATATATATAAAATATATTCAGTCTATCTATTCCATACTGACCGACAATACGTATTTTTTTGTACATCCATACTAATATTATAAATGTGAAAGTGTGTTTGTTTGTCCTTCTTTCACGTTGAAACAGAGTGACGAATTGGATTGATTTTTGTGTGGAGATAATTGGAGGGCTAGAGAGTGACATAGTGACGTGCTTTTTACCACGGAAGATTGTCTCATTTTGATGGGTATATACGTTATAACACAACCAAAAAAAAATTATTTATGATCAGAATTAAATGAAACTTGGTATTAATGCTCTTCAATACAATTAAATAAATACATGTTTTAGAATTTTTCAAAATTCATCCCATAAAGAGGTAAAATAGGAGTTGAAAGTTTGTATGAAACCAACCTTTTTAGAGGTTTTCTTGTAGTTTTAGCGCGAGCGAAGCCGCGGGTTCTGCTAGTATATTATAAATGTGAAAGAGTGTTTGTTTGTTTGTCCTTCTTTCACTTCGAAACAGAGTGTGGATTGGCGTGATTTTTTGTACAAAGATAGTTGGAGAGCTGGAGAGTAACATAGGCTACTTTTTATCGTGGGAGGTTACTTCATTCCCACGGGAAAACACGTTATAATACAACCCAAAAAATATTTATGATCAGAATTACTTGAAACTTGGTATTAATGTTCTTCAAAATAATTACATAAATAGATACGTGTTTCAGCATTTTTCAAAATTTATCCCATAAGAGGGCGAAATATGGGATGAAAGGTCTTACGAAACATACCTTTTTAGGTTTTTTTGTAGTTTTAGCGCGAGTGAAGCCGTGGGTTCTGCTAGTATATTATAAACTGACAGTAAAAGTTTACTTAAATATTACAACGCCATCTATCTCAAAAAATAATAAACCTACAAAAACATTTGTACTACAGCGCTATCTACCAAGAAATCGTTAAATCTAGAGAAGGCTGATATCAGAATTTCAATATAATGTAGCGTTACGTTTATTTAATAGATGGCACTTTTGCTTCAGAATGTATCTTAAGCATTATATACATTTAGCGAGTATATTATCATAATTAATTAGTATATCCATATACCTGATGTCTTTTCTATTGTTCGCGATGTTGACTACAACTTCTACTCTACTGGCTCAATTAAAGCCATGAAAAAGATTTAATTAAATAATAATCTCGCCCAGTTATTATAAAAGAGAAATTACAAATTTATTAATCAGTGACAATCGGTGCCAGCTGATGCAAAGCAAATCATATATATTCCGATACGTAAAATACATCATATTTACCCATGAACGAATTAACCACTGGACCAGACATATAAGCGGACGTGCCTTTATCGGTCTTCTCAGTAAACAGGAGATTTTAGGCTTGGTCGTTTGTTTTTTGCGTCAGTCTCAAGCACTTATTTGCCAACAAAACATCTTCCAAAAATGACTAAATGTTCTGTTAATTGATGTAAAAACTATAACGGCGGAAGCAGCAGTATTTCTTTTCACTTGTAAATACATTATTTTATTACATTTATTGTTATTTATCACACAATTTAATTAAATGTAAAATAAAATGTCATATTATCCAACTATGTTAAATATAGTCGATATTTCTATCTATTGTTGACATCTGACAACCATCATAAAATGGCTGGATTATACCATTCAGAACAAATGACAAAACTGTCGAGTGAGTCCATTTGAGATCGACTAGTGCTTGACAATTTCGAAAAATATATCGATATTTGACGAAATAACTAAACGAATTGTGTTATTTGTACAGTACAATAACATGAAATACTTTTACCACATTATCTTACAATCTGATGACAATAAATTTATAAAAATATTTTCTAAATCAAGTAAAAATATAAATGCAAAAATTATAATTAGTATGTGTACTTAATTTTTTATTTCATTTTATACCACATTTATATACTTTGGAATATTATTCCATCGTAATAATAATAAAGATCATTTTATTTCAACACATAAATTACACAAAATCAAACAATAATGTTTTAGCACTAAACTTCTGGGTTGGCGATTTGTAATAAAACACTTTACCACTTGCACTAATTATTTTACTTTCACGATCCAACACTCACTTTTTCACAATTTACAATCACTTTTTCTTTTTCCTAATTTCACAAATGTTTATTAAGAACTGAGCAATATTAGGACAGTGTCACATTTTTATAACTACCCGAGACAATCAATTGCCAATTAAAATAGTTCAATAACTAAATTTATATGAGACCTGTGAAGTATACCCTTTGAAACAAAAAAAAAATTTCCAAATCGGGTCAGGCGTCTTCGAGTAATCGGTGAACATACATTAAAAAAAAGATTCCGACGAATTGAGAAACTCCTCCTTTTTGGAATTGAAAGTCGGTTAAAAAATATTGATTATATCTTTAAACAAATACCTAGAGGAATATATTTATATCTTATAATAGCTTGTATTTTGTAAAAAAAACCAATAATAATACTTCAAAATATTTAGCTATACTAGGTAATTTTATATCGTAAGCGCAAATTTTTTTATTGGAAATAATTTTATATCGGTAACGATTCTTATAGCTAGTGCAACGTTATGTTGAATACAAAAAATTGACAGTAAGAGGCAAGGGTATAAAATAGTATTAAATTGTTATATTATACCTACATAAGTAAATAAAATTAAATATATTTTCTTTATAAAAAAACATTATTTTATTAGTTAATTATATTTATAATGTTAGATAAAGCTGTATTATTGCCACCATACCATAAAAAATGATAATAATATTATTATAATAACCTAATTGCTTTGCAATATTGGTTTAATTAAATGTATTAATTTTAGAAAAAGATTAGCAATAATTTTTGTGAAAGATTAATCATAATAATCTATTCGAAGTCGTAGCAAAGGTCGTAAGGCAGTGGTAGCCTAGTGGTAACGCGCTTGCTTGGGAAACCGAGTGAAGTGGGTTCAAATCCCGGGTCCGCACCTCTGATATTTTCATGTGCGAATCATTTCTAACATGATTACCATATGCCTTACGGTGAAGGAAAACATCGTGAGGAAACCTGCATGTCTGAGAGAACCCAGCAAGTTTTCGAAAGACATGTGAAGTCCGCCAACCCGCACTTGGCCAGCGTAGTGGACTATGGCCTGATCCCCCTCGTATTGAAGGGAGGCCCGTGACCAGCAGTGGGATGTCAAAAAGGGCTAAATACATTCGAAGTCGTTAACGACTCGCTAACCGTGACCTCGACCTCTTTATTTCACGCACACATTACTTTTATGTGAATACTTTGACATTAGACAAATAACCATATAATGAGCTGAATCAAATCAATACCTCCCTCATTGGTCTAGTAGCTAGCTACGGCTGCCTATCTTGAGGCGCGGAAATGTTATACGTACAGTATTGTAACTCGGCCCTGTCCTTGAAATAATTACCTACAGCCGCGCGGTACGTACCACGGTACCACGCGACAGGGCTGGCCGCCTACAGTATTTTAATTTCATTTACCTACTTGAGTTTTTTTTATTTAAAAAATATTATTAGTAGATTTAATTAAAAAATCAAATTAAGATTGAAAAATATTTGCGCCTCGACTGAAACGTACGAAAAGCTTTATTGTCAAATTTAATAGCATAAAATATCCGCATTCGGAAAAAGTAAATAAAAATACTTTAATTTTCATTTTTAAAAGATACAATGATATATACGATACTTTTTCGTTTGACATTAGCGAAGTTACGGGAGGAATAAAATGTTTATTTTTGTATCCAATTATAAAAGTTACATAACATAACCAACCACCTTATACAATTTTCGTATCCAATTATACAATCTGGCAGCCCCGGATGGTGGTCTACCGAGTGTATACCGAACTCGAGGTGCGTAAGTATAACTCGATTTCCGAACGTTTGTATGAAGATGGAATACTGTATGTAACATGACCGTGCTTGAGGGTCTGGGTTCGAGTTCCAGGTTGTTCCGTACGTTCGTCCCACCGGAATTTGAATTTATATTCTGAATGCTCTAACATACTCGTGCACTAATATCTCTTGCGCACAACACTAGTCATAATAATTATTGTCACCGTGGCCAAAAACCATCAGAATTACAGGAGATATTTTGAAATAATGGAGATTTACTACTACTTCACAGTATTATTTTCGAGAAATATGCATATAGGTAGCTTATATTAAAGAAAATGAATCAATTTAATACAATATATTATATAATATATTTACATTATTATAGTCTAATTATTTTCATTACCATTATCTTACTGAGATTGCCTTAAATTAATATAACCTACATCCATTTCATATGCTATTTACTATCGAAACTTTATTATACAATTCAATATTATGAAAAATAACAAAAAATATTCATTTTACGAATTACATAATAGTTCTACAATTCAGTTCTGTAATCTTAAATAGTAACAGCTTCTTTTATTTATAACTATATGAAGAACTAAGAGTATTTATATAAAATCCTTTTTAGGAGATAGCTTATACTATAGTCTCTGTTTAACCTGTAGAGGTAATATGTAAATAAATAATTAAAATATATGTAGAGACCACAAAAAGACTTCAAAAGTCCATAAAATATGTTCAATTAAAAAAACCGAATCTATTTAAAGAAGTGCTCGCGTGAAAAAATATTAAATTCTCGATGTTTCGTAGTTAGGTGGCTCGTCTGCTTTTTCTTTTTCGAATCCGGTATCTAAATTGCCTTTCTTTTCAAAATGGCTATCATTAGGTGAAATGGGTGCAATCTTATCTAGATTAGATTCCATTTTTGGACCATTTTTTTCTAGAAAAGTTAATGGTGGATCACTCTTTTCTGGGTATTGGGAGTTATCTAAAATATTGTTTTTTTCTAATTCGCCATTACTAGGTGATATGGGTTCGATTTTATCTAGATTAGATTCTTGCCTTTGTAGAAAAGGTCCATTTTTTTCTAGGAAAGTTAATGGTGGACCACTTTTTCCTGGATAGTGTGAGTTATCTAAAATAACGTTTTTTTCCAAATGGCCATTACTAGGTGATATGGGTTCGATCTTATCCAGATTAGATTCCTGCTTTTGTAGAGATGGACCATTTTTTTCCAGGAAAGTTAATGGTGGACCACTTTTTTCTGGGTAGTGGAAGTTTTCATTCACTGGTGGAGTACTTTTATCCAATGTAGTTATAATTGTTCTTTCTAAATCAGTTACACTCTTTTCTTTTGGTCCTGGTTTTGATCGCCCATTTTCTTCGGTTCGTCTAGGTCTCCTTTGACCTGTAAAAATATTTAAATTGAAATATATAGTAACTTATTGTACATAAAAACCGACTTCAAACAAAAGCACTAAAAAGTAAAAAATAACTGATTGGTAGTTTTCATTTACTATACATACCTAATCAAATATTTTCGAAGTCGGTGTGCTTTGCTTTGTATGGGCTGGCACAGATTTCGAAAACATTTGATTAGGTATGTATTTAATAGGTAGGCTTTAATTACTTAGCCAAAGCACACCGACTTCGAAAATATTTGATTAGGTATGTATAGTAAATGAAAACTACCAATCAGTTATTTTTTACTTTTTAGTGCTTTTGTTTGAAGTCGGTTTTTTTTTGTTAAAAAGTTTTTATTTTTCCCTTTTTAGTGTAGCTGTCTACACAAACAGTAGCAAAGTAAGAATTCTAACGTGTTAGGTTTGTCAAATCAAACAAAATAAGCCCAAACTCAAAGTATCTACTATTAGCCGTTGAAGAGTTCCACCTATCCACCTTCTGGCCTTGCCATCAGATCAGGTCAACAACACCGAACCACTGTACTATCAACGGAAATAAAAAGTTTCAAGTCAATATGACAATTAGAAGTAGGTTAAATTCATCATTAGTTGTTTTTCCACCCTTAGGGGTGATATTTTTTTTGAAATTTAAATGGGACCAATCTGGAAGTATACCCTTTAAAACAAAACAAAAATTGTCAAAATCGGTTAATAAATGACGGAGTTCTGAGGTAACAAACATAAAAAAAACATACAGTCGAATTGAGAACCTCCTCCTTTTTGAAGTCGGTTGAAAATATTAAATAAGATTCAATATGTACGAATGTATTCAGTGCTTGTTAATGTCCCACTTCACCGTATGGCGAATGGTGATCATGTTTAAAATGAGAATACCAGAGAAATCGAATCACTTTTACTTCTTAGGATTTAATAGGGTAGATATGTATACTAAATATTATGAAATAGAACATGTAAGAAACAGAGGGAATATAATAATTTTATTTCTTTGTTACTTTTCGACAGCATAAACCATTACTTGTTTAATGGTGCCAAATAATTTACAAAATTGGGTGACACATGACTCTATGAGATACAAATATTTGAAGATATAATACAAAATAATCGTATGACCCGATGCAAACATTAAATTATCCACCATGGAATATGTGCTCATATTAAGCAGTGCCAGTAAGGCACCAGTAGTACTAAAATCGTCTAATTTTTCTGTACTCTTATTTCAATACACTAATATAAATTATGTCTATTCATATAAGTCTTTACCTCCTTCCATAAGCATTTTGATGAGTACGGAGAAAGGTGCATCGATGACCACCGTCACTAAGAAAGATACCATGAACGCTAGCGTGAATACTGCCAAAAAGTCATATATCTGTAAATTATAAACAGTCCTGTTATTAAACATCAGAAAATGTTCGACAATAGAGTGCAATTTAAAAGTATTTTTTTAATATTATATAGTGATGTCATGGACGAATTGTGGTTAATTCGTTCATGAGTGATGTATTTAAAAAAATAAGATACAATTAGAAATAAATCAAACTGACCCGAGCGCCCATAGAAAAGTGTGTTGGAGCAAGCTGCATACCAGCGATCACGAAACAAATAGGATAGTGGTATAAATACATAGCAAATGATATACGAGCTGGTACCTTCCAAACATTTAGACTTAATAACCAGTTTATCGGACCTGAAAAATCAAAAATAAGTATTATTATTAATTAATATAATTTATATTAATCAGTTGAAAGATATCCTCCATTTCTTTGTTGCGGAATATTATTATTATTTTTTTACAATTCTTACCTCCATAACCCTTAACACATGCAAAAATGATCCAACTCAAGCCAATTGACCATACTGTTCTCATGTAGGAGTTAAACAGACTGTCTCCAATTTGGTTATCCCAATCAAGCTGCATGATGACGTAAGATGTGTAGAATGCGGAAGCGATTGCACCTAATGCTATCACCCAAGATATCAACACAAAAACCTGCAAATAAATTATTGTGATATAGGTACAGACATTATATACAAGAGCAACTCAAGTGGATCCTGGGTCTGATCTCTCTAGGTGAAAAAAATTTAATCACAACAACCTTTTCTAGACAGATGTCTAGAAGCAGTGAGATTCACCGCCTTAATTATTATTATATCTGGATGATATTATTTTAACTGTCCCGCATAATTATCTGTAATATATTTTATAATAATAGTCCACCACGCTGGCTGGCTGGTTGGCTGCCTAAGTGAGACATGCAGGCAAGGACCAATTAAAAATGAGAAGGAGTTATTAATGGATTCCAATATTAATAATATCTATAAATTTCTATTTATAGGGCCACATTTGATGCGTATTAAAATAAAACTTGCAGTCTCGTTAACTAATCTGATATTTTATTACTATGCTATGAGTTAGTTTATTTATAGAATTATAAATTTATTTTAATAATTGTAAATAGATATTTTGAATACAATCTAATGTTTCGCGTGCCCTTGGCAGGTATTGAAGGTCAGATAGCAAATCAGTGTTAATATCAATGCTTGTTAAAATCTATGATTGTGTGTAACATTATATGATAAGCGAAATATATATTAGGAGGAAATTAAATTTCAAATAACACAATGTATCTGATACTCGTAAGAGGTGAGAATAAATAAAAAAATATAATAGCGAAAAACGAATAGAGGCAATATCAGTTCTATCTCGTCTTACAAAGAATATATACTTCAACCTGCTAAAATAAATATTTTAATAGGTCACAAGTACTAATGAAACGCCAAAATATACGGTATACCATATACCAATGAAATACCAAAATATAGGTTACCTCCTTTATGAAATTAATTACATGCATTCGAATTTACATCAGACGCTGGTTAAAAATGTTAAAAACTGGGAGTTCGTGAACTCTCCGAGTATCATTTTTACTTTTTTTACACTTTCAGAAATATATTTGTTGCAGGGCAATGCGATATGCAGGGCTGAAGTTAGCTGGAGGTTATTGTACTTAGCATACTGTGAATCATCACAAAAAAATTGTAGCTTTACAAGAGTATCGTTACTCGGAAGATCCACAAGCTCTTGGACCATCATTTGCGGACAATGCTTTGAAGTTGTTCTGGTAAAAGATTGGAAAAGATTTTGTGTACTGTAACATATTAAAAATGCAAGACAAAATTTAATTCTGCAATTCCAAATTAAGTACCTATGGTAACTAAAGATAAATAACATCTCACGTTTATGTACAATAGTAGGGGAGCCCAAGAGGGGATTTTCTGTAGTTACTCGAGCGCGGCAGATTAACATAAAAGAGGTTACCTTGCACTCTATTGAGTACTTTCACCACAATATAAGTCTTCTATATAAAGGGGCGCGTCTAGGGAAGCCGATTAAAATATTTAAAAAATGTTTTGATAAGGTAGAAATACTTGAAACCGTCAGATTAAGGTGTGGTAGGCTAGTCACATCCTGAAAAGTGTCAAATTTAATAATCTGCCGATTTGCACAAGCCTAAGAGGCAAAAATCATCATAAGCTTTATAGTCGATTTTTGCCTCTTCGGCTAATCTCAAAACATTTTTTCAATATTTTAATCGGCTTCCCTAGACGCGCCCCTTTATATAGAAGACTTATATTATGGTGAAAGTACTCAATAGAGTGCAAGGTAACATCTTTTATGTTAATCTGCCGCGCTCGAGTAACTACAGAAAATCCCCTCTTGGGCTCCCCTACTACAACGATTTTTCGGAGATTAACGTCGAATATCAGAGAAAGACAGATAACACTTTTAATAGGACTCGCTATCTTATGAAATGATGAATGTTATTAAGCAAATATCACTATTATTATAATCACTGGACTATAGATTATCGTTAGACGATAAATATCAAAGATAAATATAAACGATAAATATCATAAGATGAATTATTACGGATGTCATAGACATTCTTTAATGTTATAATATTTACTTACTCTTTGCTTTACTTTAGAAGATATATTTTGAGTGAGTCGCCCTAATTTTCGTAAATTGGAATATTGGAATTTTAATTTCTATTTTAAAAAGCAATATAGATATTATAGATATGCTTTTCTACGTAACTAGATGTAATCTGTACTCGCTTTGAAGCCATTAACAAGAAAATGAACTGAATAGATATGGTATTAAATATAATTATATTATCTTAAAGAAGTGTCACGATGGGTCTTCATAAAAAGTAACAAATTTCTGCATACATATGTTATAAATTTTATCCTGAGAACGTTGGTGTTAAGCTACCCACAACAATCAAATCAAAAAATATAAATCTGGATATATGTACATAGAAGGCGCTGCAGTGTAACCACAGTATTAAAACTAATATATAATTTGTTGCCATATTTGCTGAAAATAAAAGTAATTTTATCGTTAATAAATAACTTCTAGAACGACCTACCTGTAATAGCTAGACAAAGGCCTCATAATTTGATCTACGTTTAATTTTTTTTTTAAATTGACTTAGACGATTTATGGCATTATTATATATATTGCTTCACTTAATTTTTATTTTGCGAGTTTTTGAAATTAAATATTATACTTATACTTTTTTTTGAGTAACAGCCAAACAGATTCTTGGGAAACTCAGTATGGAGTTAGCTTTTATCTTGGACAGGTTACGTTTTACCGACGTAATTACCTACTAAGTGAGCGGATGACCAAAACTATTATTATTATAATTTCTATTTATACTATGTACTTACTACATTTAGCTTGATATTCCTTCCTTTGTATATGTTTAGAATGTAACCAACAATCATTCCGACAAAGAAAGGCGCTCCACGGCACAACGCGTTCATGTAGTAGTTGTTCATGTAATATGCCTGCTCATCTAGACGTCTGAAATATAATATTTTTACATTTAATATTTTTCTGGCTTTCCCTATTCACTCTTATCTTTTTTTTCTTTCCACAGATTAAATATGTTAGACTCATTTACAACCAAACTCGGTATCTGCTATTAATAATCCTTTTGAAATCGTTTATAAGCTTTTATAAAAATAATACCTAATTATTATTATTGGAGATAAACATACATTTTAAATGAATGTTTGGATTTCGGAATAAGTTCGTGTAACTTCACTTTTAAATATTTTAAAGTTATTGCCATATACTTAACTCAATTTTATTTAAACTGAATATAATTTTTGGAACTGTGGTAAGAAGTAAAATGTTCGTTATTGTAGATCATTTCCATATAACATAAAATACTAACAAAAAATATGGCACGAAAGACGTCCTTATTTAGCAATAATTATTATATACTTTAAGTTTGAATTTATATAAGACTAGCGACTCATTCATTTAAATGATGATGATGATGAGAATGCTTCTTTGAAGATGGTCAAAATTACTTACTGAATGGTCATGTTAGTAGATGGTAACTCCTTTAAAAAGTTCCATACAGAAGATGCAACTAAAATGGCTAAGAGCCCAGATATAAGCGCCGTCCATGCTTTCGTCCTGCTTTTGCCTAACACCCAGAATAATATTATAGGTGAAACAATATGCAACTGGATATCTATCGCAATGTACCAAGAATGTTGAATGCACTGAAACAAATTAAATTATTTACTGTATTTTTAGTTTGATGAAGCATTTGTAAAGAAATAAAAGTTTTTAAACATTTTGTGTAAAATAGTTTAGAAAAAAAACAGGTTCATAGTTGTAGTGCAGCCATACAAATACTATAATAACTTATAGCCCAGTCGAATTAGAATTTCATATTGCAAAATTTTTTACTGGTAATTTTTCTTCAGAATTCTTTTTGGTCACTGGCAGTCTAAAAGGTTCCCAGGGTCCCAAGGGGTACCAGACCCGTTGTGTCATCCACCATCTTGAATTTTGTTTATTGAATAACTCGTTTATTTTCAAATTTACGCGAAAAGTTGTTATTACAAGAGTTGTTTCAAATTAAATTTCCTACAATGTTGGTTCTTATCAAAGTTTTCTTAGGATCGTTTTTTTTTATTTATATCCGAAAAAAGAAGTGATTTTTTGTTTATTGAACAACTCGTTTATTTTCAATTTTAATCGAAAAATTATGATAAGCAAAGTGGTTTAAAATCAACATTCCTACTTTGATCTCTATTATTTTTTTCGTAGGATCGATATTTTTCGATTTATACCTGAGAAAAGGAGTTGGTAAAATCTTATGTGTATATGTATATGTGATAACTACAAAGCTAAAAAAGTACACTGATTTCTAAGTCACTTAAATAGTGTTTATTCCACACGTAGGCATAGATTTTAAACTATAACCTATTCATTAGCGAAAGGATTATTAATCCGTTCATAGTAAGTACTATTGGTAATGATATCATATTATAATGTACAATATAATACGCCCTGGTCTAGAAGATGTAAAATAAATATAAGTATAACGTAGCCTAAATTAAGGTAATAACTTACAACATCATCAGGGTTATAATAATTTTGTATATGCAAAAGCGTAGTCCACCAGTACTTCCGACATCTTTCAACATTTCGTCCCATATTTTCCCAGTATGGTCCATCGGCGACTTTATGGAAAGCAGAGGCTTCTAGAAGTACCAATGCAGCTAACAGAGGAAACATTCGTAGTAGACGGTTGAAATAAAATACGTGGAGTCGCTTCAAAAGTTGCACTGAAAAGAAGAAATATAACATATTATATCAAGTATTTATTTAAAAGTGTTTAATGTAATAATATGTATTGCGTTTAAAAAATTATAAATAAATAATAAAATAAATATGTTGGGACATTAACACACATCACCTCACATGGTAAGCTACGAGGCTTGTGTATATATACATACATACATATACCAGATAGTTGATACACTACACATATATAACTTTAAATACATACATATTATAAATATAAACACTCATGACTGGAGTACAGACATTCGTGCTCATCACACAAATTAATGCTCCCAGCGGGACTCGAACCCGCGACCGCTGACACAGCAAGCAGGGTCACTACAAACACTGCCAAACGTGTCGTCAAATTATAATAACGCTCTATTTCCATAAGTTACGAATACATAGCGAACTTTGAAATTCTATAAGTTTCTTTATTTTTACTTGTTAAATTTTGTAGCTATATTACTGTCAATTAAATAAGTCAGTCTGTCGGTTAAATATTATATTATATACTAGCGACTCACCCTCGCTTCACGCGGGTTCGTCCCTTGGTACGTTTTAACGGTTAGTATGGAATAGATAGACTATACAGCATACATATATATATATATACATATATATATATATATATATATATATATATATATATACATTATATGTATATTTACATAGGTATGATGAGTTGATGGGTTGTATCACAACCTGTTTTCCCGTGAAGATGAGATAATCTCCCGGATAAAAAGTAGCCTATGTAACGACATAGGCTAATGTGAAAGTGTGTTTGTTTGTTTGTTTTTTTACTTGTTTGTCCATCTTTCACGTCGAAAACAATAGTTTCTTTAAAATATCTTTCGTGTGCAGACAGTGATCAGTTACAATTTTATTATATGTGTAAATTAAAAATATACAATATAATATTTTACAGTTCATTAAAACTATTTTTAAGAAGAAACACTTGTCACCGCTGATTTAAACTACGACTACATTAAAATATTGATGATGTAACTAATTCGATTATCTAGCACTGATTAAAATATTCCATCACATATCAATTACAGTTTTATTTAAAATAACGTTAATTATTATAATTTATTGTGAATATGACAAACCTATATATAATACTTTCTTAGACCTAATATAAACCTATATATATATATACCTAAATAATACCTAATATAAACCTATATATATATATATATAATTAAATTCAAACCGAGTCGAATTACACTACATTAAATTACATTTAAATATTTTTGTAAAATCTATAAATAATTTAAAAAATAATATCTATTTTGAACTATTTCATTTAAAACGTGATATTTGTTTACACACTAATCGAAACACAAACAGCTCAACCAGAACTATGTACTACTATATATATATATATATATATATATATATATATATATATATATATATATATATATATATATAGTACATACTAATGTAGTTACATACTGAAGTAAGACTCGTTCATCGTTTCAGTGTGGAAAGCAGAATCAACATAAATGTTATAAAATTGTTTTATTTCTGTATAAAAACAAACCTCTTTAATTTTTCCCACTCTAATATAGCCGCTTATTTAAGCGGTCGTTATAGTTTTTTTTTAAAAACAACAATTGAGTCTCTTAATTATGATTAAATATCGATTATGATTATTATCTGGATTATTTGACTCGTGCAATATTAATCATTTGTACGCAAAATGATCCACGATTCTCGGCCATGCTGTCTGCTCCCGATAATTGATACGATGAAATATATGATAAATGACATTATATTTTTATTATACTGTTTTACCTAAATGCGAAAGTTTGTATGTGTAAACGTTTGTTACGATTCACCTTGAAACGGCTGGACGGATTTATATGAAACTAGCGGCTCACCCTCGCTTCTCTCGGATTCACATTTAGGAAAACAAAAACAAACCTATTCCACGGGACCCGTACAATTTTCCGGGATAAAAGTAGCTTGTGTGATATTCCAGACTATAATCTATCTCTGTGCCAAATTTTATCAGATCCGTTCTGCCGCTCTGGCGTAAAATAGTAACAAATATCCAAACATACTCATAAACTTTCACATTTACAATATTGAAATGTGGACAAAGTATACAGATTTATTTTATTTACGAAAGATATCAATTTTTATTGCTTTACTAGCGGCTCACCCTCACTTCGCTCAGGTTCGTCGCTAGGGACGTTTTAAATAGATATAAATAGTTATTAGCCAGCGTTAGCTATATACATTTTAATTTTTTTTTCGTTTTCAATTTTTTCTTTTATAAGAACCTTTTCCTGACAATAATAAACACAACAAAAAAATAGTTAAACAGTCCAGCCGTTTACGTGTGAAGGCGTGACCATGGGAAATAGGGATTCATTTTTATATATACCTATAGATGATTGATAATATATTTACTTAATAATATGCCATCTACGTAAAAAAAAAGATTTGCATGCTTGAGTATGTAATGTCAATTTATTTCAGTAATTAAAGGCTATTTTATTTTATTTAAGTACACAGAAAGACAATGATCTGGAGTAACACGTCATAGACCTAGGTATGCATCATAGCTTGTGTAAAATACCTACTTCCAAAAAAATAAAATTTATATCTGAAAACTAGCTATTTGAAAAATGAAATTACTAGATAAAAACTGCTACTCTGTCCCGTTAAAATTATAAAAAAATGTTATATCTTGAACTCAAATCAATTACCTATTATTTAGTAACAAAGATTCGGCTACAAGGGATAAATATTATATGTATATATACATACGTAATATAAAACATTATTTCCCCATAAAGACTCACCCCCATTTTCACCCCCTTAAGGGCTAATTTTCGGGATCAAAACTATCCTATATCCTTCAACTATGTTCTTACCAAATTTCATCTAAATCGGTTCAGTAGTTTCGGAACCTATTCGATATAAACAAACAAAAAAACATTTTATTCCTCTTTATAATATTAGAATAGATATCAGGATGCTGCAGTTTAGTATATGGGACGCGGTCTCTGGAGGAGTGGGTGGTATTTTTGGATAGGGTAGGCGATAGGGAGTCAAAATATATAAATTTTGTTTTGAGGCTATGGCGGGAGCTACGCTACGCTTCGCTTCTGCCTTAGCCTTCTCATTTTTAGGGTCCCGTATTTTAAAGAGAAAAATGTAACCCTTATAGGTTCGTTCGTGTATCTCTGTCAATTGTAATAATATACTTACCTGTTAACAGTTAGAAAGTATATACAAATAAATTCTAGTTACTACTAGGGTAAAATGGCATATTTTAAAAGATTTTTCTCGATTAGACATTGATTTTTTTGTAGCAAATCGCGAAGCGAGAAGCTCAAAACAAATTTTCTAAAATATATATTTTCAAATATTAATTACCTCCTGTAAGTTTTCCCACTGAAGTATAAACAAGTAGAATACCCGCCATCAAAAAGAATGAATCCACCGTAAAAAGTCCCGTTGAAATCCATACCGCATCACCAGACGTAAGCCACTAAAATATTAATTATTCGACATTACTAATATGCAGAAAATTCGACATCTACAATTTGGAAGGAAATAGAATCTCCAATAAAGTAGGCTATGTCGATTATGATATGTACAGAAAACAAAACTTCGCAAAGTAGTTTTTATCGAAAATTATTTTAAAAATTTCATAATAATGGTTATCTACTATACATTAACCATTCAAATAAAGTTGCTATAAGTAGATGGAGAAACAAAAACCTAGCTTACCTTAATACCTTCACTTAAATTAGCATGGAAGTTGTACATAGAAAATGTATGTCCAATAACGACCCACATCATGGAAATCACTCTAATACCATCTAAGCAATCTAATGAGTTTGAATTAGAAGAAAACGTTAGTAAGCGTCTAGTATTTGTGTAAACTGAGAAAGTACGTAAAAGCACTTTAGCTTTTTTCGGATCTGAAATAAATATAACATGTTTTAATAAGTGGTTTCAATTTAATTATTATTTGGCTTACATATCCTTAAGAATTATGTGTTATTCTGATATCCTATGTGTTATTCTGATGTATACATACAAGCTACGAGTATGTTATTGTTAAGTTTCATCATAAGCCATACAGTAGTTTTTGCGTAAAAGAGTAACAAACTTCCATCCATCCTCACAAACTTTCGCGTTTATAATATTTGTAGGACAGGATAAAATTTCTATAAATATTTAAATTCCTTAAACTGATGGACTTTGTTTTGAAGAGTCCCATACATTATAGATGGGCTAAAAGCATATATTTTAAATAACGTACAAAATTTTCGTTTCACTTAATTAAAATAGTACAGGATAGAAGAAAATTGAGTGAGAAAATTAAAAATTGATACTATACATAAGCAAACCTACTTAACTTCATGCTGAATCAGCCACGCTTTACGTAGAAAAATTATATTCAATCCGTTTAGAGTTAAACTATTATTAACTACTAGCGACACACTCTCGCTCCGCTCGGGTTCGTTCCTAGTTACGTTATAACGGTTAGTATAGATTTCTCAGACATGAGATATTTTCCCGCAGTAAAAAGTATCCTATATGTTGACTCGGATATCCAGCTATCATCATACCAAATTTCATCAAAATCTGTCCGGTGATTTTCTCGTTATGCGTTCAGAAACATACATACAGACAGACAAAAATTCTAAAACCTATAACCTATCGATAATAATGACTGTTTCAATAAGATTTTCTAGAAAATATTCAATGTACAGATTCGACTCTCGTTATATGTTGTTGTTAGACTTTCATTATATGTACAGATTTCATCTATTCTCTTTGTAACATCTTGACTTGACATCAAGTATGTATGTACTCATATCGAGATAAAAAAAATCTCGTATAAAAGAAGTATAATTCAACAACACATTTTTGTATTTCTAAAGGTTTTTTATATAAAAATTTTATTAAAAATAACATATATACTTGTTATAATATCTTAATGTATTCTCATTAAATCGTATCAAACGGATAAAGAGAATTAATACTAATTCGCAATTTAATCGATCATAGTCCGCGTCGAACTCGCGAATTAATTCAAGAGACAATTCTTTTTAAAAAACTCGTTGTTCGCTCATTTTTGCCTTTACTATTGAATATATTATATTGAAGTAATAATAAATAATGGCTGAATAATATATATATACATATATATATATATATATATATATATATATATATATATATATATATATATATATATATGGTAAACATTACCAGATTATACAATACTTATACTGTTATGTGATAATTTTATTGCACACTTCAAAATTGGTTGCCGACTGGTAATAAAAACTTATAAACTAATATAACGCTTATTACGCAGATTAGTCTTATCAATAAGATTTACAATATCTATAATATCATAGGTTTAATAGAAAATTATAATAAATACGAACTATTGTAATCTATGTTTTAATTCATATAATACGGAAGGAACGTGATTAAGTTTTATGAGTTTTGTGGGAATTTATCTTTTCGATTACGTTAACGTGGATTTGTATAGAATATAAATCGGACCATCTATTAAAAAAGGTGAAAAATCAATTGATCTATTTAAATCGTTTATTTTATTTTATTTATTTTTTTATATTTTTATTTTTTTAATTTATTTTTATTTTAAAATTTTTAATCAATTAGTTACTATTTATTTATACTGCGATAACTACTAAACCGATCGGAATAATACTCATACTATAAGATGCAGCGTGTTTGAGAGAAGGTTTTAGTATATACGAGTTTTATTATTAGTATATACGAGAAGGTTTTAGTATGTTGGTGATTAATGTACTATGCGGGCGGAGCCCACGAAAATGCTAGTACAAAATAAATCTATATACATATAATAAAATTGTAACTAAGTCGAATCTGTACATTAAATATTTTTTGGAAAATCTAATTGAAATAGACATTATTATCAATACAGAGTCCGAATCTATAGTTTTTAGAATTTTTGTCTGTCTGTCTGTCTTTCTGTCTGTCTGTCTGTTACCGCATCACGAGAAAACCACTTGACAGATTTTGATGAAATTTGGTATGATGATAGCTGGTTATATGTATGATATAGCCGGGTCAACATATAGGATACTTTGTACCGCGGGAAAATATCTCATTTCTGAGAAAAAATACAAAAACTTCATTGTAAGAGTATAACTAATATGTAAAGCCTAAGAATTTGCTTTTTGGTCATCTGAACGCGGGCGGAGCCGCGGGTAATGCTAGTTATACATAAATTGAGTCACACAGTCTTCCTTAAAATTCCTATAATTTTAAATAAAACTAGTAGTAATACAGTAGTATTAGATCCAAACAATAATTACTTACCTTTTTTCTGTATGACGGTGTGATTGACATCGTAAAGTGTGCTAATTAAGGATATAAGGCCAAGTGCTGAAAACACTCCACTGAAACAAACAAAAACAATTCTTTTAAAACTTTATCAATAAAAATATTTAATTAGATTAGATTATTTAATGAATAAAAATAATAGGATAAATATGCAGATAAATATGTAGAAAATGTATGATAGGTGCGACGACTTGTGTATAAAGTTTGTGTATATTTGTTTGTTTGTACCACAAACCACGTTCATGACTCCATTCCATATTCCCTGTATCGTAAATAAACTGCTTTTTATGATTATAACTTACTTTCCCAAAATTCGTTATCACCTTTTGAACTAATAGCTGAATATCGTAATTAAATGTACACCATGGGGAAGGCCTGTATTTAACAGTATACTAAGAGATGCTGATTGTAACCATGATAGAAAATATGTAAAAAGGGAAATTTATAAACTTAAAATCTCTACGTGTAATCAGATTTAGTGTTTTTTTTTCTTCTTTTTCACCGGTTATTCTATATATAACGTATATTCTCCATTCTACGTGACATTGGCGAAGTAAATTGTACCCAACTTGCACTTTTAGAAGCCACGAAATAAAATAATTAAATTGAACTTAAAATCTTATAGCATAAACTTAAATTGAGGATATTTTGGATGATAAAAATAAAACAAAATTATGCAATAAAACGATCAAAGGTCTTGTGATACGCCAATTTACTATTTACGAATGACGTCAAATATTAATAAATTATCTAAATAACTTTCATACTGCTATCTAAGAATCGCATCTACCAGCCTGATATAATGATTTTTGCATTAGATAGCCCGTATATTGTGGAAGGCGTAGATGTGACTTATGTATGTAGTATGTGCATTTTTACACTAAACCGTGTTTTCCTCAAATTTTTTATAACTATTATGGTCTATTTGGAATTAAACGTATCAATTTCGTTTTTTGGATTAATCTATTAGGTTCATTCCCCATAGAAACTTTTATCCCCATTTTTACCCCCTTAAGAGATGATTTCCGGGAAAAAAGTATCTTATGTCCTTCCCAGGGTTTCAAACTATCTTATTACAAAATTTCATCTAAATCGGCTTAGTAGATCCAGAGATTACCCTCAACAAACCCACAAACTCACAATTCACAAACTTTACCTTTTTATAATATTAGTATATTTATACCATAATAAACAAAACAGTGACAATAATTAGTAAAATACATTTTTTTCAAATCAATCTATTAAAGAAACTGTTATGTACTTACGAAAAGACTAAATATTACGACTAGTGATTTATGCTTAATTCGGTGCGTTCCTGGGTTTCTAATAATAACCTATATGTTATTTTAGGTCATATATCTGTACTAAATTTCATCCAAATCCATCCAGTACAACTACAACTTGAAGGACTAGTAGAAGGGGAAGGAGTTTGTGTGACTCAGAAACATATAAATTAAAAAAATATACAAAAAAAAATAGATACTTACATGGCTACATAGTCTGCTGCAACCCATGGCTTATCGTCTGGAAGTCGGCAGAAGTTTTCATCGAATCGAAACCCAATAGCAGTTAAGTTAAATAATACATTTCTCATCCATTCTTGTGTTGAACAAGCTTTAGGCATACACACAGCTAGATTGAATGATGCGTAAAGTAACGGATTTGAGGGATTTAACCTAAATAATGAAGATATTGTCATTAAAAATTATATATACCAAATAAATAGTATAGCCCAAATAGTTCATAAATAAATATATCAAAAAATATAGCATATCCTTACGAGTCGGGATCGATTGGAGTTGCGAAAGATTGTACTTCCGAAATAATATTGTTATGAAACCGTACTATTTTTCTGTCACCTAAATCAGTTATTCGTTGATCCAAGAAAGGTATATGGAAAGACTGATTGAAAGGCACACTAATGTAGCAGTATTTTCCTTGAAACTGCATATCATCGATAATGTCATCTATGGCCAAGCATTGATGATAATTTCCTAGATCTGTAATGCTTAACATAAAAACTCCTCTGGGTAACTTTACACCGGAATCCAAAACTGCAACAAAAGGAACAAAATACTCAAATAACTAAATTACTACTAAATAATTTACTAAAACCATAAAAAAATAATGAACAATTATATAATCTCAGTAACTCTATCAAGTAGTTAGACTCTACATAGTAAAATCTATTAAAGTATAAAGAGTAAACTAGATTTTTTTTAAATTTCAAAGAAAAACTTACATCTTCCCAATAAGAAAGCGTTTGATTCTTTCATATACGACACCTGTTTTTCACATTCTGTATTATTAATGACTCTATTGTAGAGATCATAATCAAAAATACGATTTGGTAAATCTCTATTTAACTGTGCACTCGCACAAACTATAACTACACCAAAAACTAATAATGAATGCTGTAAATTCATTGTCAACACGTCACTTATTTACTTCTACAAATAAAAATTTGCATAGCTAGCACGTTGCTTCACCGAGGAGCTCTCCTTCAATAATCATTATTTTAGCGTTGATTGTTATAATTAACAATCATTAATCTTATCTATAATATAAAATTATTATGTTTATCAAAAAATGTAGTATTACTCACTTTAATATTTTTTATGGAGATTGAGATAATATTTGGGAAGTGATATAATCAATTCCCAGGTAGATTCATACTTTGTACTGACGACTTCTAAATACATAATATTGTATATTTATAATAATATTATAATATCCGCACCCCAAAATCGGGTCATTGGTAATATGTATGTGTGTTTTCAATCCTTTTTAACGTTCCACTGCTAGGTACGGACCCTCCTTCAGTAAGAGGGGAATCGCACCATAGTCCAACGCGCTGGCCAAGTGCGGGTTGGCGGACTTCACATGTCTTTCGAAAACTAACTAGTAATATTTCATGGTAATATGTATATCATAATGTAAAAACTATGCAAATTCCAAATTCATGATAGATTTTTAACTAAATCCTCAATTTATTCTTCTCCGTAAAACGGGGTGCGTACATAATGGTAGGTATATCAAGAAAACGTTAAATATATTTAAGTGAACGTGAGTAATAAAAAATCCCAAGTGCCTTGAAAATGAACTAAAAAGAAGAGAACGAGTTGACAAATGAGAATATTATTATGCAGTCGGAAACACCCACCCATGTTTTTCACACAAAGGTGTATCCTTCGTTTGTTTTTAGTTTTGTCCAGTTATTAGTCCAGTACATTTAGAGTTTTATTTAACAACTTTTATCAAAATCCCTCCAGTAGTTTTTCCGTGTTGCGGTCACAGACAGGCAGACAAAAATCCTAAAAACTAGAGATTCGGTCTACTTCAATACGATTTTCCGAGAAGATAAGCCGTTTAGTAAATATAAAGGAATCGGCAGGGATTGGACATACACTGATATATATGTATATACATACATACAGGTCACATAATCCTCCTTCGGGCTTCGCTGCAGTCAGGTAAAAATGGCTGCTGTTTAATATATAGAATTCAGGTCGAAGATCTTATACTTCTCACTGGCACAGTCTGTACTGACTTACTGTTTATCAGCATGGGGTGGGACAGGCAAAACTAGATCCCTCCGCTTGGAGAGAGCTCAAAGAGCCGTGCTTAAAGTTATGCTTTGCAAAACAATCCATTTTGCTATTTCTGAACTGTATACAATAGCTAAAGTCTTAAGGGATAAACAATTGTTTGTCCTAAAACGGTATAACGCAAACACCTTGGGCTACCTTTTGTTAAAAATGCTATAAAGCGATGGGCTGGAAGACAAAAGTTAAGATTTTTTTGTAGTACTAATTTGTAAACTTTATTTACGCCTGGGAAGGGTTTAAAACCGCTAAATTCGTCTGGCGAATTGCAAATATTATTGAAAATTACTCAATAAATACGTGATAAAAATTTCAGATTGCCAAAAGTATGTTTTTTGGAATAAAAAAAAATGAGTCTTTGGAGAGGTCTGGCAATACTTTATAACCGACAAAAACGTCTGGGGTCCTTTTTTTAATTATATGAAAGCTAAATTAAAGGATTAAACAAAAATCAAGTTGCCAAAAATATGTTTTTTTTTTGGATAATTTTTTTTCCAAATGTTGCGTACTGCGCAGTAGCGAAATAACCGCTAAAGCTATACCAGACTCGCGGGACGGGTTTCGCCAATTCATAAAATTATATTTTTTTACAATTTCAACTTGCCAAAAGGACCTTCCCAAATATCGTCGCGAGCTCTCGGAATAATATAAATAATTATCTAATATAATCAATATTTTTCTGACATAATATTTTATTAGTCAGAGTAATAAATACAGACTAACCAATTTTATTGGTTGTTGATAGCTACTGATAATAATTTAGATAAAGAAGAAAAAAATAGCTCATAAATAAAAAACGTAATTTTCATAAGGCGGCCAGTCGTAAATCTTTTGCCAAATCCTATCAGCAGTACACTGAAGATGTACTGCACCGACCCCAAGTGATTTGGGAAATGGGCAGGGAGAAGAAATTTTCATAATGTACAGGGTAACATAATCAAAATCTAATATATACTTCTGCGAAAGTTTTTCTTTGTGTTAATTAAAAAATATCTACCATAGCTTATCTATTTTAGAGACCTCACATCTTTACCTCAATTGATGTAGATAAATATATATAATATCAAGCCAGCTAACAAATTAATTTGATTATCGGAATCCAAAAAAAGTAATAAAAAGTTATTACACAAGAAGCATACGATTCTTTTTTTAAAAAACGTACTATATCCGATTTAGAATTATTAGTGAGTTTTAATTTAATACTAAGCTTTATGTTTGGTTCTGGTTTCATATAAAAAAAAATTGAAATAGTTTAATAAGCTATTACTTTTCTTTGGACATTATTATAATATGTTTAAGCTTTTTAATTCTCTGTATTACGTCTATTATAATAGTATAATATAATAATATTCTCTATATCTATTATAATGCTAGCTGCAGCTACGAGTCATCATCACCTTCCTGTCCATTTCCCAACCACTTGGGGTCGGTGCAGTAAATCTTTCATAGTGCTGATTTGGATTTGGCAAAAATTTTTCGACCGGCCGTGTTCATGGCGGACATCTTGTAATATGTATATTCTATATTGTTTTCTTTCAAAACATTTTTTTATAATATTACTCATAGTTTTAATGTAATTTTCTGATATATTTAAAATAAATTTTGAACACACAATAAATCATGTTTTGACGTTGTCAATTTTTTTCTACATTTTTTTCCTCGCTATCAAGCAAGGGACTCAAGGTGCGATGTCCCTAGATCTTTTAGTCATCTTCTAGACGCCCACAGTAGTTGACGGGGTAGCCCTATTCTAAGCAGAGCGCTACACGGCTTTTATAACTAATGTAAGTAAAGGACATTAAATGAAGTTTACATGGCATATTAAAGATTAATTCTATACGAAACTAGCTAGTAACATATTTTTTATAAAAATTGGATGTAAAAAAATATATAAGCCGTGCTCTATAATAAACTAAACTTAGCTAAAATAATATATGACAATTTACTTGTAAAGAATAGTTATTGTTACATTTTGTTCTGTTTTCTTTTGTATATTTTACTACTTTTATGAGAACGTTGCGCGATGCGCAGAGGCGACGAAAATTTGGAAAAACCTATTGTGGTTGGAAATACCGAAGGCAAAAGGTCGCGCGGTCATGCTTAAATAAGATGGACCAACCAAATTAAAGTCATTGAAATTCTACACGGTGGTAAGAGACGCGTTGGACAGAAACCGGGTGGAGGCAGATCATCCGCTCTAGATGCAACCATAGTGCCAACCACGATCCTCAGACATGATGGAACGACCCCAGGAAGAGATGAGAACGTTCCCGCGGTCCAGTGGGAAAATATTAAAAATAATCTGTATAGAAATAATAGGAATAATGATATATCTAACATATTACGTTGAAGTTAACTAATATTGTTCGGTAATCTATAGATTACCATGTACGATTAGCTACATAAGATAAAAGAGTAAGATTTTATTTTAATCAGCAACTACTTTATTTAGTTAAAATTAAGGTACTTCCTGCGTATAAGTTACACCTCAAGTTACAGCTCAAATACTTTTGAAAGAGGTTGTCTTCTCTCCCATTAAACATCCAAGGTGTTCCTCCCATGGTCCACTCAATAGAATACTATAGAATAAGTACGACGAGCAACCTGCATGGCACAAATCCCAACCGAAGCTGCCCAACCAAACTTAATTGAACTTAACAAACCTAACCAAATTTAACTAAACCTTTTTTTAATGTTGGGAAATGCATGCTATACAGGTTTACGCATGATGATGATGATGATGACTGCCTCGGGGGTGTAGTGGCTAGCATGTACAGCAGCACACCCGGAGGTCCTGGGTTCGAGTCCCGGGTCGGGCCAAGTTTAGTTATTGAGTCTTTCTGTATAGTAAGTCTCAGTAACAGCCCGGAGTTGGGAAGTTGGCGGTGTTTCACCTCCGTGCCTCGGAGAGCACGTAAAGCCATCGGTCCTGCGCCTTAACTCTCACTGGTCGTGTCGAAAGGTCATCCCACCAGAATATGAGAGTGACAGGAATAGAGAGTGCACTTGTGTCTGCGCGTACACTTGTGCACTATGATATCTCCTGCGCAGTTGGCTAGTCTCAATGAGATTGGTCGCCGTAGCCGGAATCGGCTAGGAGAACATCATCATCATATACTAAAGCCCAACAGAACTTCCCCCGTCTTAAAGGGATATCGCAGGATCATTTACGCACTCAACTACGACGCCCCGATGGCAGGTCTGCGGAGGCAGATACACAACCAAAGGGTTGCTCCCACGGTCCACTCTGCTGTCAGAGATGTACCAGGAGTAACCCACATGGTACACCGGTACACCTGCCTACCACTGTATGTGAGCAGTCTTAAACAACTAATCTGAACTCATTAACTCATATTAACGGTAACATAATTAAACATTGAATAAAATGAAATATAGATTAATTTAAAATATATGACCAAATGAATACATCTTTAGACAAAGTAAACTTTGTACCTTTATCATAATAAATCAAACATCAATAAACATGGTTAAAGAAAGTTTAATGGACTGATATATTGAAATACATAGAAGTAAGATTAAAAGTAAAACGTTAATTGGATTAAATGTTATGTTTATCAAAAACATTGGATATTGCATTATTTTATCAATAGAGTTTACTTCTAATATAAGTTATTTATATATATAATAAAATTCTAAATGAGTCGAATCTTTACAATAAATATTTTTTTGGAAAATCTTATTGAAATAGTCATTATTATCGATACAGAGGCCGAATCTTTAGTTTTTAAAATTTTTCTCTGTCTATGGGTCTGTTTATTTGTCTGTCTGTCTCTACATCACGAGAAAACCACTGAACAGAT